TTAAAAAGAAGTCTTATAAAATATATATATATATATATATATATATATATATATATATATCTATCGTGTTTGACTCGTTAACTTAGCGAATGAGCCGAACACGAGTTTCTTAACGAGTCGAACACTAGCTGTTCGCGAACAACGAGCCATGTTGACAGCCCTAGTTGCCACAACCCAGGACAACAACCCCACTTGTTGTTTCATGTAATTTTGCGCCTCCTCCTTGTTGCTACCAACATATTTTTTCTGCCACCACACCATTCAACCCTTCTACGCCCCTAACAACCACCACCACCACCCCAAATTCACTCTAGTCATGTGTTACGTGTCGTGTTTTTTGCAATTTTTTATTTCCATTTATTTGAATGTACTTTCCTTTTTTAATTCAGTAATAATTTTATTTTCCCACTATTATTTGGTTGAACTCCAATTACACGGAGCGTCACATATTTCTATTGTGGGCGACCTCTTCAATATGAAATCAAAGAAAATATTGAAAAACGTAAACATTTTTTTTTATTTTATGATTTACTATAAAATTTATATTTAAGAAATATTCATTTTACAAGTTTATTATATGAAGAGTCTTTTTTTTTTCCTACTCTACTTCCAAAGTATTTGTTGTAGATAGTATTGTTAAAAAGACTTTCAAAAAATACATTATGGAGGATCCATTTGGTGATGATTTAGATATCCCAACCCTCTCAATTTGAATTTTATTATACTACATATTTACTTAATTTTGTATTTTAAGAAAGAAAAAAATTATTTCAAAAAATAACTTTTTTTAATTAAGTAGTATTAAAAAAAAGACAAATTAAGGGTCTGTTTGGGGCAGCTTATAAGTGCGGGCGGCGTTTTCAAAACGTTGCTGTATCGTTTGGTTCGCGCGTTTCGCCAGCTTATCTGAAACTGCGGCCAGCCCGCCGGCCGCCCCGCAGGCCGCGGGTCGAGCTGACCGCATTTCAGGATAAGCAGCTTATCCTGAAACGCTCAAGTTGTCCCAAACGGACCCTAGTTTTCATGATATATAATTTTTTTAATTATACTTTTTAGTTTTAAAGATAAGTTTTTATGTTTGAAAATATTTTTGATAAGATGGTTTTATATTTAAAAATAAATTATCTTCTTTGTTCTCATGATATATAATTTTTTTAATTATACTTTTTTTTTAGTTTTAAAGATAAGTTTTTATGCTTGAAAATATTTTTGATCAGATGGTTTTATATTTAAAAATAAATTATCTTCTTTGAAGCAATTTTGTGTGCTTCACTTAACTATTGAATATAATAAAATACACCTCTTTTTATATCATCATTAATCTTCATAATCAATGATAATTGTTGAATAAGAGCGCCATAAAAGTTATATGTTAGATGCTATGAAGAACTGACCAAAGGGAGATCTTTTAATTTTGATTAAGATAATTAGCTTCAAACTAATCATTTTTTAAATTAAATCCTCTTTTTATATAAAATGCTTCTCAATTTGTATAATTAGATTAAATTTCTGCACACGTAATAATATAGCTCAAATTAATTAATTTTAAAAAATAATAATAAATAAAAATTATGATTGGTTCATGTTTGAATCATCTTTAAAGCATTATTGAATCATATTCAAAATATGGTTAAATAAGCTTTAAATTATGATGGAACAATGATTGAATTATCTTTGAATCTTGATCGAATGATTGAGTCCTTTGGATTCATTCCATAAGTTAAAATGAGTTGACTCAAATTGAATTATTTGAATCTGCTCCAACTCAAAATCGGCCTGCGGGTCATTATATTTTATTTTGTTTAGCATTACATATATAACTTGTATAAAAAAAAAAAATAAACCGAGTCAATCTCGAGCCAATTCAAGCCGATTCGTGTCGGCTGAAAAAAAATTTGATCAAAATTTTGGGTCATAGCTTGACTCATTTATTTCAATTCAAGTTAAATTTCAAATTAATTTTGAGCGATTAACGATATTCGGGCTAAGTTCACAGCCTTAATAGTAAAATCTGTCATTTGTTAGTCAGCAGTTTTGTGATTCTTTATTGATGTAATAGCAAATAGTGTAGCATTTGCCTTGCCCATATCTAAGAAGAATTTTGCATAAGCCTTCTAGATTGACTTTAACCCTTGCAGTCATGAAAGGTATAATTTTATTACCTGGTTTCCCCAAAATTAAGGGCATTTACATGCATTTACATATTTAACACCAAAATTTTACCTTTTTTGATTTACTTTTATACCACCTAAATCTTTACAATAACATTAAGGTACCATTGTTTTAGATTTTATGCATTGATAAGATGGCAAATATATAAAATTAATGTTTAATAGTTAGTTCTGTACATATATAAAAGTTGAGCGGTATACATGTAAAGCATCCTAAAATTTAAGTAGAATTTGATACAAAAAAAAAAAAAAAAAAAAAAATTGT